TATCTGCTGTGCTAAGATGATGACATAATTGTATTTACTGAGGGGTTATTAAAAGGGCTATTGAAAGCCAGGCATGGTGGGGCAAGCCTTTAACCCCAGCACTCAGGGAGGCAGAGGCAGGTGGATCTCTGTGAGTTTGAGGCCAGCCTGGTGTACAAAGTTGAGTCCAGGACAGCCAATGCTACACAGAGAAACCCTGTTTCAAAAAAAACAAAAAACAAACAAACAAAGGGCTCTTGAATTCAGGCATAGTGGCACATGCCTTTAATCCCAGCATTTGGGAAACAGAGGCATGTGGACCACTGTGAGTTTGTGGCCAGCCTGGTCTACATAGTGATTTCCAGGACAGCCAGCACTATATAGTGAGACCCTGTCTCAAAAAGACAAAAACCAAAACCCTAAAACATAACCAAACATAAAAGGCTCTTGATTTCAATGCTAAAATAAGAGTTCTATACACAGAAATATTACAATTCTATGTTTAGGGGAGGAGGTTAGCTCTTTTTTTTTTTTTTTTTAAAGATTTATTTATTCGTTATTTACACAGTACTCTGCCTGCATGTGTGCCTGCAGGCCAGAAGAGGGCACCGGATCTCACTAGAGATGGTTGTGAGCCACCATGTGGTTGTGGGAATTGAACTCAGGACCTTTGGAAGAGCAGCCAATGCTCTTAACCTCTGAGCCATCTCTCCTGCCTGAGGTTAGCTCTTTTGCTTGCATGCTTCAGTCATTTGTATCATTCAGGACTCTGAGTTGTAACAGAAATCCAAATCAATCATTTCAAAGGCTAGGATTTCAGGCCTGCAGTGTAGGATGGAGTAGGGAGATTTCAGATGGGTCTCAGGTTCCTTCTGTCTTACCTCACTCCATTTTGAGTGATGGAGGGATGGGGAAAGGTTTCCTAGAGAAGGGACCAGATGAGGGAGAGGGAGGCAGAGTTCCCTAGGCATATCACAGTAGCTGAGAACCCTCGGACCCCGGTTGCCTTATTCAGCTAGACCTGCCCTAGAGGCTCTGGTCTGACCTCTGAAAGGAAGATGCCTTCTAAGAAAAGTTCTGGCAGGGTGTTGGCTGCCCTGTCTGTGTCATGTGCCCATGCCTGAGCCAATCACTTATGGACAGGGACCAGGAACATTTTAAAGTCAACCAGGTCTGAGTCACATGAAGGTCAGGAGCCAACCAAGTGGACGAGGATGCTGGGGATGAGGAGTTGGTCCTTGAAGAATGCTAGACTGATAGTAAGATCTATGGCCAGCATCTCAGTTGGATTTTACTTGTTCCAGAGGATCCCCCTCTCCCCGTGGAATTTGCTCCAGCTCTGCATGCCCATAGTAGCTTTTATTCCCCATCACCCTTCCCTTAACATGTAATGAGCACAGAGAAGAGGAAAGTGCGGACCAGGAACTGCTGCAGCAATTACAGGGTAGGAGGAAGGGGCGGAGCTGCGAAGGAGCCGCAGGGGAGTGGTCTGTGAGGTTTCACAAGTGAGAGTGGGGACGTTCAGAAAGACCTCAGAGTTTCAGGGGGGAATGGTGGGCTCCGTGGATGGCTCGGTGCTTCTAATAACTGGCCATTGGACTGGAGAGCAGGGAGGAAGGGGTGGAGGGAGGGTCCTTCGTGTTGAGTGAGGAGAGACTGTGATGGGAGGGAAAAGAGAAGGCAGGTGTAGACTAGCCTCTGAGGAGTGTGTGGGCCAGGAGAGTCGAGACTGGAGCCAGGGCTTGAGGGCCCTAGGGAGCTGGTCTGTCAGCCGGGAGTAAGGCTGCACTCAGGAGGCAGCAGGTGGTGGGAGAGTCTGAGGAGGGCTGTGCAACACAGGGACATATCAGTAGGGGCACTCCAGGAGCACTCCTGCCTGAGGGCGTCAGCCTTCCTCAAGGTAGGAGGTGACGCCTGGCCTAGGAGCTTGGGAACCAGGGCTGTGGAGATGTCAGAAAGGAGCGTAGGGCTGAAGTTGTTCTGGACACTGACTAAGTAGGGCTACTACAGGGAGTTAAGATTTTTAATATATGGTTACACATTCCCCATCAAAGAGTTATATATGGACGCCACCCCAACAACAAGAAAGAGGGTTTCCTTCTTTCAGACTGAGGGCTCCTTATGGTGGAGAGGTGGGGGAGGGAGGACAGGACGGACTGGGACGGGACATAAGGCCTTAGGAGATGAGGTGGTATAAAATATCCACCAGGAAGCCAGTCATGGTGACTCATGTCTTTACTAGCAGCACTCAGGAGGCAGAGGACACCTTGGTAAATTTACATAGTGAGCTCTAGGCCAGCCAGGGCTAATCCTGAGACCCCGTCAAAAAACAAAACAACAAAAAACAACTCACCAGTGCTGGTTTTTACAAATGAGGAAGCTGACAGGTTGCAGGCCAATTGGTATCCATGTGACTTTGTGGTCAGACTAGAGCAGTAGCTGATACTTTGGTGTGTGTTGGGGGGTATGATTGTTGAAGAAAATACAAAGCCAGATACGGTCCCTTCTGTTATCACACTGCTCACTCGGTGGTGTCTGGAGCAGAAGACTTGCTGTACATTTGAGGATAGCCTTAGCTACAGTATGAGACCTTGTCTCAGAATCCAACTGTGGGGCTGGAGAGGAGGCCCAGTGGTTAGGACTGTGTAGTGCTCTTGCAGATGACCTGAGTTTGGGTCTTACAACCTAGGTGGGACAGATCACAAGCTCAGGTCACTCCAGCTTCAGGAGACCCAACACCCTCTTCTGAGCTCTGTGTCCATACATGGCACTCTCTTGTTCTTTCTCTCTCTCTCACGCATACACTATAAATAATAACATCTTTAAAAAAACACTATAAATTCACTGGGTGTGGTGGTACAGGTGGGCGATCTCTGGGAGTTGGAGGCCAGCCTGGTCTACAGTGAGTTCCAGGACAGCCAGGGCTACACAAGAGGAACCCTTTCTCAAAAGCCAAAAACCAAAACAAACTAAAACCAAACCAAGCAACCAACCAAAAAAATCCAAATAATACCCCCCCCCAAAAAAAAAACCCCACAAAAACAAGACCCACAAACAAAAACACTATAAATTAAGCCAGGCAAAGCAACACATACCTGTAATCTCAGTATTTGGGAGATGGGTGCAGAGGGACCAGGGATTAAAGGTCATTTTCAGCTACATAGGGAGTTCAAGACCTGTCTGGGTTAAAGGAGGACCAGTCTCAAGTAACAAAACCCAACCAACTCAAAAAATTCAATTGGAAGTTTCACTGAGGCACCCAAGGTTACAATGTAGCAGGATCTCAGGGCTGACTCTTTGGGAGGGTGTCGACCCACGAAGCTCAGCGCCTTCTGATGCCCACGCTCCATTTCAATGGCTGCTGCGCTGGGGGAGGGCTCCCAGAGGAGGGCCTAGACTAGGGTGGGGCAGGCAGGGTTCCCTGGGCACACCACAGTGGCTGAGGGCCCTGGTATCCTGGCTTGCCTTACCCAGCCAGTCCTACCCTTGAGTCTGAGGGCTCCCTTTTCTTAGGTCATGACCCCAGAAAGAGGAGGCACTTCCAGGCCATTGCTTCAAGCTCAGGAGTCTAGTGGGGAGGGAAGGTGACCCTGTGTTCTGTCATTCCATCTGTCCTACTAAGTAACTCCGATCATCTTTGTGCCCTGTGGGTTAACAGCAGTCTGTAGCACATCTTGGAAGGTAGGGAGGGGACAGGGCATAGGGCTCCTAGTTTTGTTTGCATAAGGCTCCTGTCCCAGAAGGTCACCCCCGGTTTCCACCTCTGATTTTGCAGTCTATTCCCTGACTAGGCCGACTGAGCGTGGGTATCCCGGGGGCATGCTTGCGGTGCCCTGGACGCTCTAAGCAGCGGGGTGTCCTTCAGAGAGGAGTCCAGGAGAAAGCCCAGGGACTTGGGGCGGGGGCAGAAATCTGCTGCCGGGAGGCTCTGGCCCTGCTGTTAAAGGGCGCCTAGAAGTGAACGTGGTCACGTCAGGGAAGTTTAAAGTGATGATTCGCGGGGCAGAAAACGTGGAAGAGAAAACCCTGCTTATTTAGTCAGGCTTTAAAACCATAAGACTCTCGTTTTCTCTCTATAGCTATTTATATCCTGAGCGGGTGTAAAAACTGTCCCCATATGAAGCCCAGGTCTGAAGTAACTTCAATGAGAAATAGCCATCTCCGGTTATTTATTTATTTGTTTTTAAATCAAACGGCCTCGCGTGCAGCCCCGGGTCCGGCTGGGGGCGCGGGGGGTGGGGCAGCCCACCCGGCCCCACAGGCAGCTGTCAGGCAGGGACGGGCCCCTCGCTCGATCCCTCCAGGGACAAGGACGCCCCGGGGTGGGTGTCACCGAGTCCTACGCGTCCAGGCCCTCGGCCCTGCGGGGTGGGGGAAGGGCCGGGGTCTCGGGAAGTGACCCTCCTCCCGCACCGAGCTGGGGGGGCCAAGCCCCTGCCTTCACCCCGCGTCGGGGCCCCCCGACTCGGGCGAAGTCCCTCCCGCCGCCCCGGGGGCTGCTCGGCGCCGCCCGTCGCCCTGGAGGCTCCGAGGCCCTCCCCGGCCGAACCTGCGGGCTCCTCCCGCGGCCCCTCGGGCAACACGCGGGGACCCGGTGGCCCCCCAACCCAATTAGCGGGGCGCGCCATCGACTCCTAGCACGGGCGCTTCCCTTCCCTCGGGGAGCCCCGCCACCGGAGAGCCCCGTCCCCAGGTTCCCCGCTCGAGCACAGCCCAATCCCCCCGGGCGACGCGGGGGCGCAATTAGTTTCTTCCAATTAGTTTCCCCTCTTTGTATAGAGCCCATTCAAACTGTGCGCGTACTCCTCCGCGCGAGGGGGAAAGTAGTCCCGACCTTGCCCGCGATTTCTGCTCTCGCGTCGGGCACCCTCCCTCTGGGAAGCCGAAGGGACGCTCGGCGGGACCCCGGGGGGAGGTGGCGCGGGGCCCGCGGGGCGCGCGCGGAGGGAGCGGGGCGCCGGGGGAGGGGGAGGGGGCCGGCAGGGCGGCTAACTCCTCGCCGCTGCCTCGAGAGATGGATCATGGGGCGTAAAGCGATCGCAAACCTCAAACCACGTACAGTGGGCGATACGCGTCAACCCAACCCGGCCAACGGAAGCGCGGAGCCGCCCCCCCCCCGCGCGGTCCCGCCCCCAAGCCTGACGGACGCGCGCCGGGACCAGCCGCGCGGCCGCTCGCCGCCCGGATCCCGCGGCAGCCAATGGCGGCGCGCGAGGGCGGGGCCTCCCGGGCGGAGGGTTAGGCTGCGCGCGGCGCTCCTCCGCCCAGGCCCCGCCCCTGCCCCCGCCCGCGGCGCCCGGAGTAGTTAGAGCCAGCGAAGTGCGGGCGGCGATGAGAGCCAAAGTTGCGCTCCGTTCGGCGTCGGGGGCTTGAGGCGGCTCGTCGCTCCGCCCGTCCGGGTCTCCTCTGGCCCCAACTCGCGCCGGCGCGGACCCCGCGCGCCCGCCCGGCCCGGCGCCCACCTGCGCCCCCTGCCCGCGGCCCGCCGCCCGCGCCTCGCGAGCCGGGGT